ATGAATACTCCCTGCCCTGCCCTTTCCTATTCCTCCCACCCCTTTATTTCCCCCACCACCACCAAAAAAAAAATCTAATAAGTTTCCACTTAGCTTCCAATTAGACCCTTGATTTTTCAAAGCCACGGTTATAAAAGACAACTCAGGACAAAATGCAAGTGTACAGAAACTTTCTATATCTCAAAATGGGAGTGACAAAGTGACAAAATTCATCCTTTAATACCCCTAGTCAGCAATACACAGCAAACCCAATGGAACAGAAGCAATGCATCATGATCCACGTCAGAACAAATTTGTGATTCAATCTCACTGAGTTAGTGCTAGGCAGTAACTCTTAGTCTGGAAAGACAATGAATACCATCTCTATAAAGTACTCTTGTGGCTCATTGCTCATATCTGACTGGCAGATATTTCAGACAGTATCAGCACCTTAGGTATAGGATACTTGGATGTTTCTTAAAGGATGTCAAGTAAAAAAAATCCCAATATTTCATAAACTGAACTCCATTATTAAGAGTACATTATTACAGTGTTCAGAAAATATTTTAACTTTACCTCTAAGCTTTATTAATGAATTTAGAGAAGCAATTGTACTTCCAAAACTGAATTTCTTTTAGCATTACTAGCTAATACTGCTGAATACTCCGCCTCACAGATAAAAGAATCTAAAACAGCAGGAAACAGAAAACATTACAGTGCTAACATTTGTAAGTACAAACTTAACTTTAGAAGAGGTATGCAGAAACAAAATATAAACTGTTAAGGTAATTCAAATAAACTAAGGCACAAACATTCCCATAACTGCATTTCAGGCCTTGTTGAATAGTCCTACCCATTGACTAAGTTTTAAATAGATGAAGTCTGTCACAACCCAAGAGTGTGATTTTGTTTGTGTGCGCTTTGGCACTGCTAAATTATTTCCCGCCACTAGGAGTTTTCTTTGCAGGGTGCATTTCTTAGTTGCAAAGAGAAATGCACGGTGCAAAGGAGTTCCCGCCATTCGCATGCAAATTTGTGTCCCACTATTGGCCAGTTCTAAATTATTCCCATGTGGTGGCTAGTGATTGGTTTGCTAGCCATATAAGAGGCTTGAGCGGTTTCTGCCCAAGTTGGAGAACTCCGAGGAGAACCCCCGCAAGGGAGGACTCCATAACCATCTGGAGGAGGAGAACTTCACGTCTTGTGAAGATCTCTAAGCGCTGCGGAGCCTATCGAACCCAGCGCAGGCTATAGGGGTCTGATCAACCTCTGGCCTCTCCCCGTCGCCGAACAATCCCTCGACGTACCCTTCCCCGCGCGCAAGTTCCACGGAGCCTAGCAAACATCGTGTGAGTGTATCCAGAGCTCTACCCAGGTTCGAGTCCTGCAGGTTTATCTTCCCGTCGCCGAAAACCCATTGCGATGTACTCTCGTGTTTTGCATCTTCCCGTCGCCGAAAACCCCCTGTGACGTACTCTCGTGCCCTGCAGGTTCGAGTTTTGTTTTGTTTTGTTTTGTTTTGTAACTGCAACTCAAGCAAGTCTTCCTGCCTGCACCGCGACCATCTTTGGTGTAAGTAAAATAATCTTTAATCAACCGCTAAGCGTCCGTGCCTAATTCTAGCCCGCCGGCCTGTATTCCCCGACCCGGCGTGTCCGGGCTGCTGGCCACAGCCCGCCGCGCACAGGCCCCCGAGGGCCTCGGACCGCTCCCGGCCCGCACAAAGTCCACCTATTTTTTGGTTTGTTTGAGAAAAGGTACATGGAATGACAAGGAGGAAGAGGAAGCTTTGGTTAAGAGACATCAGTAGGAGAATGAACTGGAGATACTTAATTGAGAGCAACACTACTCAGAAAATACCAGGAGCTGAAAATCTGGACAAGCACAGGAAGGTGAAATAGTGTGAACTTCAAATGAAGACCCATCCTTCAAAATCCATCCTGCTGTTTTTATCTCAGTTTCTTGTCTGGAGAACAGAGTTTTGGCACAGGACATCATTATCTTGATTAATGCAAAGTCAGAGGCTGATGTTGATTTACATTAAGGTGAGATTTGAGTTGGATATACACAACTCCCGCTGGCTGCAGCTAGAGTACTGCATCCAGTTTTGGGCTCCAGAATTCAAAAAGAATGCAGAGAAGCTTGAGAAAGTCCAGAGAAGAGCCATGCGCATGGCCAAAGGTCAGGAAAATAAACCTTATGATGACAGGCTGAGAGCTATGGGACTCTTCAGCCTGGAAAAGCACAGGCTCAGGGGCGATCTGATGGCCACCTATACGTTTATAAGGGATGTCCACCAGGATCTGGGGGAACGTTTGTTCACCAGAGCGCCCCAAGGGATGACGAGGTCAAACAGTTATAAACTCCTGCAAGGCGGTTTCAGGCTGAACATAAGGAAGAGCTTCTTTACTGTCCGAGCCCCCAAGGTCTGGAATAGCTTGCCATCGGAAATGGTTTAAGCACCTACTTTGAATGCCTTCAAGAGAAATTTGGATGTTTATCTTGCTGGGATCCTATGACCCCAGCTGACTTCCTGCCCTTGGGGCAGGGGGCTGGACTCGATGATCTTCCGAGGTCCCTTCCAGCCGAAATGTCTATGGAATCTATAATTCCCTGGTCCCAAGTACCCCAGAGCTTTTAGAAGGAAACTTTTTTTTCTACAAAATGGACCCTGTTCCTGATTTAGGTATGTATAGGTTTGATGGGAAATATCCAACTGAACTTTTAAGGAGTATAGTTGTCAAAGCTGTTTTTCTCAAAATTTAAAATTCTTTATGAGGGAGTCCATAAAGTGAAACATTGGCTATAATTACTTTTATGGTGATTCATTTTTTCATCCATATTTTTCCCCAAGCAATAGCTTATTGATGGAGAATTGACAGATATTTTGTTCTTGGTATAGTTACAATAGGAAACATATAAAATGCATTTTTATAACATTGTAAATATTTCCCCAACTTTGGGAGTTATTTTTATTATCTCTTCTACATCTAAAAATAAAAAACAAGCATAACATGTTTATGTGCAGTATGCTCCACCGTAGTTATTTAGGCTGTTTTGGGATTTGGTCATAAAATTCTGGGTAGAAAAGGGAGGGAGAGAGAGGAGTTAGTTAAGCCCTTGGGTACCGTGGTAACAAACAATGGACAGATTAGGTAGAATAATTCATTTTAAAATTCTCTGAGGAAAGACCAAAATACATTGTGATGAATGTTAAAGTATAACCCATTCTCCATAATAAATGTATTTAGGGGAAACAGATTTAAATATTAGTATCCAACAAAGTAAGGAATCAACATGTGCTACAGATCTGTCTTACTGGCAAATTTATTGCTCACTGTTAATGTTATCCTTAATGTTTTCAACATACTTGAAAGATCTCTTCCTCTCCCAATTTCTTAAAACAGAAATTTACCTCTATCACAGAATAATTTTTTCTGCTTTCTCTACTGTATTCAATGGGACACTTTACGTCCCATTGCTGTGTTGAGATAATTCTTTTAAAGAAGTTCAGGAGATTCCAAATAAATTAGCACCTTGCAGGTCCCTCCAATGTAGCAGATAAATCCCTACTGATTTAAGGAATATGCTGACCCCTATAGATGTTCACAAAAGAGCTGAAGTACAGCTTGCTGGAGGAGGTCAGAATGTGGGGGAGATGAAACTTGTAAAACATTTTTTCACCTTTATTTCAAAGTGTTTTAATGAAGACGGGCAATTACAAATAAGAAAACAAAGATTTAAAAAGGATGTATTAGCCTAAAGTATGATTTGAAGCAACAACTGTAAATAAAATATAGATATAGATTCTAAATATAGATTTATATACAAATCCAGTGATTTGTTATACCTTACAAAGCTGTGTTACCTTACAAAGCAGTAAGTCACATGCATAGTTAATTTCAAGTAACAGCCTGAGATTTAACAGAATTACATTTAAAATAAGATGATCTGCATCTAGTGAAAGAAAACATGCGTATATATATATTGGCATATGCCATCTTCCTCATTCAAATCTTGACCCATTAGTATATGTTAAGAAATTCCTACTTTCAAGGGCATAAATAGGTCCCATTGCCTATAATTAGATGAATCACATGCCTAAGCAATTTCCTGATACACAACTAGAATAAACTTTAAGTATAAAGAACATTATTCATGTAGAATACAAATATAATTACTGATAGATTAGATTTCATATCACAGTGCTTGCACATACAAATATGTCATGCATCACTGAAATATAACTTCCAATGTTGAACACAGCTACTACTTTGTGTCAGCCATCCCATAATGCAGTGATTTTAAGGAAAAGCTGTAGAAAAATAATTTATGTGAAACCAGAAGGGGCATTTTCAGACGGGTACAAGAGCAAGCTGTCAATATTAGTTACCCACAAATGTAAAAAAAAAAAAAATACAAGCTTACATGATTATTTTCAAATGAGTAACATAAAAACAGAAAAATCATATACATATTGCTGCTGATTTATACCTAGGAGATTCTTATAGGTTTTTCGTCCTAAACCCATTTGTTTGTCCTGAATAAGTGATACAGACTAAATGCTGCAGCATTCATTTTTAAGATCTGTTTTACTCAAATACTCTAGTACAGCTTTATAGATGTCATTACCTACCCAAAAGAAAAACACTTCTGAGTCTCTTTACAGAGGATATATTTCCAAAGGGAACTTTTGGAGACTAAAAAAATTAAATAAGTCTGGCTATATTGTGGGTACATTGCTGTTGCATATGCCAGCCATCACTTTGATAGAGTATGCAGTGCAAGTCTTTAACTAGCAGCTTAAGTTTCAAATTGTTGCCAGTGCTTTCCTAATACTCTTCATGTCCACCCCAGTTCATTCACTTTTTTATGGTTATGAACCTGAAGGCTGCCTAAGAACCTTCTTCTGATATACTTCTTTGAAATTTTGAGTTTTATTACCTGTTATTTGTTTCACATTGCAAAATATAAAGAACAGTTTGAATAGAAATTGCAAAAGAGGCTGATCATTTACTCACAGTCTCTCCAATGATCTCAGTCCAGTGAAGGAGACATTCTTTAACCACAAAATCTTGTTGTTACTCAGAATCCTGTAAGTAGTCAGGAAATAATCTGGTTAACAGAATGTAATTCCACTGATTAAAAACATATAATTACAGTAAATGACTGCTCTGTAAAATAGTAATCACAAAATTCTCTGCTTCATTTGCATTTCTCCTTATAGGAGTAAACAAGACAAAAAGATTATAGTTTTCACAAGTATTCAGTTACTTCTTTTTTATTAAACAGGAGCATATCAAAGATGGAAGTCAACAAACCTATTGTGGTTCAGTGCAAAAATTATAAAAACCAATTGGCACCTGCACTTCACTAGCACATGCTGAAGGACAGTTGGTGAAGATCACTGTGGTCAGACCATCAGCAAACTAGGCATGTTGCAAATGAGAGTGGCAGGGGAGAGGGGAAAAGAAAGTATGTGAAGAAACCTCCTCAAGCAGACCATAAAACAATAGAAATGCTACAAAAATGAATCCTTGCCTCATTTCCTTCTCAATGGGCAGGGGGAATGGTATTATGGCAGCCTGAGCCTCAACATGATCCCTCAAAACTTGAACTTGAACAAAGGGAAAGTTCCTCCTGTGATGGAGTTGAATCTTCCAGGATATACAGACCAGTATCTTTCCCCTTATCCCCATGCCTCCTGTCCCCTACTGCCACACACCTGCGCACAGTAGCATCTGAAAACAGTTTTCCCTCGTAATCCCTCCATGGAGCCCCAGCCATTTAGCTACATCTAGGCCATTTGCAACTATCAACATAGAAACGTCATAACATTCAACTCCCATGGAAAACTACAAAAATATTTATTATTGGCCTCACATGACCCTGCTCTGAATAAACTGTCATCATAGACCATGATAATTTAGTGATATTTTAATAATATTCAAGATTTTCCTAATAATTACAAATATGAAGCAAAAAAAACAGCATGCAAGTAACAAAACGTAAAGCTAATCCTGCTTGGGCATTTGGTTCCTCTGAAGAGTTTTCTTCAGTATGTAAAAGAAAGCCAGAGGAAGAGGATCTTGAGCTATTGAATTAATGACTGTACAATATCCAAAAGCCAGAAAGAGGCACTTCTACCAATTTGAATAAAAATAAATCACCAATAACGTGAAATATTATACCCTTTAAAAACAGAATATATACTTTAAAATTGATAACAGCCTGCTGTAATACACATAATCTCCTTTCAGTAACACAGTAATCATGGTATATTGCTTACAATAATGCCAAAATTAAACAAAATAGAACTTCATAAACCTTTAATTTTCTAAAATAGCAAATCGAAAACCCTTCTGCAATTATTGTAAAACATCCTCTTTTTTTTGGCTGCATTTAAAACACCATACACTAACATGTTAATTTCTGTGCTTCCTAATGTTTCCTACTGCATTAAAATGTAATTGCAAATTATGTATGTATATCAGAATATGTGTCATAGACATACTTTGAAAATTGTCAAGGCCTACAGAGAACACAGTGCCTTATCAATAGTGAAAATGAGAGAGACAAAAATATTTATCCATGAATTAAACAAAATACAGTGGAATTCTTTTCCATGGTGTTTTTTTGTTGGGGGGAGAAGAGGGGTTTTGCTGATTTTGCTGAGTCTTATAATTTTGATTTGCCTGATGTAAAATAATTTTCAGCAGTAAATAAGGGAACATAAAATGTGCATCCAACTCAGTGATCCAGTAGCTCCCTTCCAGACTAATGTCCTATGTATATAATTTTGAGACTATATTTAATGACATCCCTCTAAAGGAGGAACGCTTAAATGTGTGTCAGTGCAACCCATACATCTTTGAAGTAGATGCCCTAAATGAAACTTAGTTTAAAGGGAATTAAAATTGGCACTTACGCAATCTTACACCCATAACTCAAACATTAAAAGGAAAAGAAAAGACAAGGTATATGACGACCCTTATTTGTACTCTACAGTACATAGCAAATTTCACATCACACAAGCTCTTCCTTCTATCTCTGTCAGATAAGGAAATATACTACTCACACTATGCATTGAATCTCCTTCAGAATATAGTGCAAAGTCTTAATTATCACAAGAGCAACACCACCAATCAGCATAATTAAGCTTGTGATAGATCATGTAATTGCAGGATAAGTATAAGGTTGTAATTAAGATACAGGACCAAAACAAAGCTGGCTGTTCTGATTTGCTTTGTTTTGTACATTTCCTGAACATTTGAGGCAGCCAACATTTATCTGATGCACATTGGTTGAATAGTTTTAAGTTATAAGCATCTAGGGTGGAACATTTACTATAGAGAAGAATTTTGCAATCCTTTTGTTTTATTTTATTCTTTTATTGATCTTAACTTCTGAGACTGGGCAGAGTTTAAATCAGTCCAGGGAAAACAAAACCCCAAAGTTAAAGTTGGCTGGGCTTGGAAGGTTCAATATATTACATTTCACTTTGAATTGTGTCATTTGGCTATATTGTGTTATGAAGAGATCATATTTTGTGGCATATTGTAATGTCATGGAGTATAAATATTATATTTGGCCTGTTCAATGTAGCCAAATTTGCAAAGAGCTGTGCACCTTTGGACCTCTATCTGATTTACATGCGATGTATGCATTCTTGTCTTTCCACTTCTATATCATTTTGTTATTTCAAGTTCTCTGAATTTTTCAATGTAAAAAGATTATATTAAAATTTGTTGATGCCTACTTCTCTACTACTTTCATTTCCTTCTGTCTCGCCTGGAAAGCCTGAATACAAACCAATATTAATTATCCTTATAAAACAGACTCCTAGGAAAATGAGTATAATAATTTAATAAAAGCATCTATACATTACTTAAAAAAACATTATTCATTTAAGCAGAACAGTGAACTGCTGGGTTCCACCCAGTATGCAAGTATTCTTTTGCTATTTTATTTTTTTTCTTAAAGGATGTTTTTGATCTTCAAGATACTGTAGACACTCCCTCTGCCTGAAGAAGGGTGTTTGTACTCGAAAGCTTGCAAAGAAGAATTTTTCCAACTATTTTAGTTGGTCTAATAAAAGATACCAGATTTATGCAAAGAACCTTCAAAAGAACATTCATGTAAAAAACTTAAACAGTAAACAAGAGTTAAAGAATTAACAAGCAAACTTAACCATTGATTTTTTAAATTAAAACTTTCTATCCTACATACCAGACTTCCACATAATGATTAAGTTTACAAAAATTAAAACCTCCTAGATTGCTTCATCTTGTAGATTGTGACAACTGAAATGTAAGTTTTATAAACACGATAAAATGTCAGCAGATGCTTACTCAATTAGCTATAGTTAAAACATCAAACGCATGCCAAAATCAATGCCTTTAATATTCTATAAAGCAGTGACATAACTTCATTGTAAGGTCTGCCTTCCTCAAAACCATAACTTTTGTGAACTAAGCAACACCACTTCAGAATATTAGTTATTGCAGTGTTTTTCCCTCCTTGTACAGAGCCAAGCAGTAGCAGGAAGAGGAGGAGGAGGAGGAGTGAAAAGGCAGGGACATGTGTGTGATTATCTTCTCTCACCTCACAACTCCCTTCAAAATAATCTAAAGGTACCACAGTTGAGAATCATTGGATTACAGGTCACAAGAGATTCCATTTTGAATCTTTCACATGACAAAAATATTTTGGTTCTAGGAAAGAACAGCTGTCAATCTGCTATTAGAACAACATTTTATAAAAAATACTAACGGATCACAGTGCAGAGGGAACTAATAATGGGGCCTATATGTAATGATCTTATACCAGAAACAGGCATTCAGTTTCTACAAAGGGAATCACCATTCTCTTGGTAGAAAACAATTGTGCAAATGTTCAAGATTTTTCTCCCAGAGCAAAAATGGCTACTCCAGGAGAAAAATAACCCATGGCGCAGCCCATGCTTTCCCCAGACTAGGATCACCCCAGTCTTGTGAAGGCACAAGGTTCAGAGGACAGGGGGCAGCTGCAGACTGAATGGATGTACTGCTCCTTCTCCCAGAATCTTTTCTAGCAGCAGAAATTCTCAACAGCAAGAAAAGAACATTTGGAAGTTGTTCTTTCCTTTTGCACAGGGGCTGAGACAGAACCATTTGATAGAAGGGAGGAACGAGCAAAAACATCACAAATTAACCCCTGGCAATTAACATAGAAAAAAGTGCTGTTGATTACAGTTGCATTCAATTTATTTATGGATTTAGAATAAGATGGAGCAGGACAGATTTATATTGTGATATTATGTAAAGCAATAAAAATGGAAAATTATTTTTAAATTAAAGGCTTTTAAGAAGTTTCAACTCTTCTTCCAAGTAAACAAAAAATACTATTTATTCCCAAAACATGCATAATTCATTGACAGTTGTAGCATAACAACAAATTAGAATGGAGTTCATAATGTGAAACAGAAAGAAAAAAGAGAGGGAGAGATGAGAAGACTTCTGAACTACCTATGCAAAAATTAATATAATTGTCATGGATAATGATAACAGTAGTCCCATTCTTTAGGTACTAGAGATACCAAAGGAAAATAATGCATATAGTTTGGATAGCTGAATACCTGAAGGATATTAAGAAATTAGGAGAGAACTCAAAGGGAAGCAGCCAAAATTGTTAAAGATTTAGAGAGACTGATTTGCAAGGAATAAATTAATGAATGCCATATTAACAGCTTGATTCAATTATTTAATAGGATATGATAGTCACCTAAAAATACTGATAGCTGAATAGGAAGAAAGTAGAACTAGGGTTAAAGTTGTTCAATGAAGGTATGATTAGACGTGTTTGGGCACATCTACACGTGACACTGTTGTCAAAGCAATGCACTACAGCAACAGCGTCGGCAGGCAAAAACCGTGACACCACAGCTACATCGCCATAGAAACATGCTTCCTCACTATAGCAAGTTGCTACGGTGATGCAGCAGATAAAAATAACCATGTGTCACTGGCACGGTGCAGTACAGGCTGTTACTGCACCATCATTTAATACAATGCAGTAACAACAGTGCCATAGCGGCACATGTAGCTGTGCCCTT